GGTACCCCCCCGCCCGGCCCCGGGGGTCCCCCCTCCCCTGCCGGGCTCCGGGGGGCTCCCCCCCACCCGGCTGACTCCCGCGTCTTCCCCAGTTCTGCGCCAACGACCCCGAGGTGTTCGTCCAGGCAGCTCTCCTGGCTCAGGACTACTGCGATGCGGTCGACTTGAACTTGGGCTGCCCGCAGATGATCGCCAAGAGGGGTGAGCGCCGCCCGGCCCGGGCCGCCTCGCTGCGGGGCCTGGGCCTGCTGGCAGGGGGCGGGAGGCCTGCGGCGCCATTCGCAGGGCTCGACCTTGGTCCTCACTGGGCTCCTGGGCACTGACCCTGGCATCCGGGAAGATGGGACCTCTAAGCCCAGGGCTGACCCCCTGCTTGACACTGACCACCGAGCATCCCTCTGCCCCAACCAGAAACCACTGTGTCCGGGGACCCCTGGGGGGCTTTGGTAGCCTGGCTGTGGGGTCCTTGCACATGGGCCGCAGCAGGTGTGTTCATCCTTCACAGGTCACTATGGTGCCTTTCTACAAGAAGAGTGGGGCCTGCTCCAGAGGATGAGTGAGTTGAGGAGCCGCAGCCTGGCCGGGCTCGAGGGCATGGCTGCCGGTGGGAGGCTTAGGACTCAGCAGGCAGCATGGTGTCTTGGGATCCCTTGAGACCTGTCCTGTGCTGCTCCCCAGAACCAGACATTGGGTGCTAGCAACAGTGTCTCCAGGACAGAGTCTAGTCTCTGTGGGCCATTGTGGGCCACGTAGGTAGCATGTGGACTTGGGAGGATGAGGAAGAGGTAGGGACACCTGGCCAGCAGTCCCAGAGCGACAGGCCAGGGGGACCAGGACAGCTGCTCCAGGAGGTGCGGCTCCACAGGGCCCAGGCTGGGGTCTGCACTGCTCCAAGCAGCACCTCAGCCACATCAGCATCCACCCCTCTTCCCAGTTCTGCTGGCCCATGACAGGCTGTCTGTTCCCGTCACCTGCAAAATCCGAGTCTTCCCTGAAATCGACAAGACTGTGAGGTACGCCCAGATGCTGGAAGAGGCTGGCTGCCAGGTGAGGGCGTGGCTGCAGGTCTGGGCGTTGGCGATGTGGGCGTTGCCCCCTTCCAGGGCCGCCTGCAGAGCTGCAGAGGCTGGGCTGAGGAGCGTGCTGTAAAGGTCCTGGCTCCTAGGGGTTGTCCATGGGGAGTGACACTGGGCTCCCCACATTGAGCCAGGGACCGGCACCCAGCCTTGCTGGAGAACTTGGGGGAGCACTTCCGCTATAACACAGGTGGGGCGGGGGGGGGAGGGTCCTCACCCCCAGGGGCTCCACCAGTGAGCAGGCCCGGCCTCCTGGCACACTGTGCTCTGGGGGTGAGGTTGCTCTTGGTGGACCAGCTGCACTGGGTGCTGCTGTCTGCTCCTCTCCAAGAACAGAGCTCCCCACATCTTGGGAGCAGGGGGCAGAGCTAGGCCCAAGGTAGCCTTTTTTCTGCCTAGCTTGGGGCATTGGGAACCTGGAGGGAGAAGCTCCCCTCAGGTCAGTTTGGGGCCAATGCTGGGAGCGAGTTTGAGCCAGACTCTGGCCCATCCTAGCTACTGACTGTGCATGGACGCACCAAGGAGCAGAAGGGGCCCCTGGCAGGGGCCGCATCCTGGGAGCACATCAAGGCCGTGAGGTGAGTGGACGCAGCTGTGTCGCTCTGGGCTTCGTGGGGCGTAAACCCTGTGGCACCCCCTTGGGTGCCTTGATGCTGGGTGAGGATGGGTGGTCTTTCTGTGCCAACAGGAAGGCCGTGTCTATCCCTGTGTTTGCCAATGGCAACATCCGGTGCCTGCAGGACGTCGAGCGGTGCATTCAGGACACGGGTGTGCAGGGGGTCATGAGTGCCGGTGAGTGGCCGGGCATGGCTGCTCCCCC